TATTTGCACCTGTATTAATATTAAAAATAAATCAATGTCTTTCAGAACACCAGCCTGATTAACACCAAGAAGAAGCTTGAAGGTGACCTTGTTCAGGTCCAGGGTGAGGTGGACGATGCCATTCAGGAAGCCAGAAATGCAGAGGAGAAGGCCAAGAAGGCCATTACTGATGTGAGTCATTTATTTTATTAATTAAGTTCTCCCCAAATGAGCTTGATGGGCCGAATGGCCCCCTCTCGTTTGTAAATTTCTTATGTTCTTATGTTCATTGAAAATATGACATATTTAAACCCAGAACCAATGTCATTTGAATAAACAACTTCATCATATGATCCTTTCAGGCTGCCATGATGGCAGAGGAGCTGAAGAAGGAGCAGGACACCAGCGCCCACCTGGAGAGGATGAAGAAGAACCTTGAGGTCACAGTGAAGGACCTGCAGCACCGTCTTGATGAGGCTGAGAGCCTGGCCATGAAAGGTGGAAAGAAACAGCTCCAGAAACTGGAAGCCAGGGTGGGTTTGTGTTGGCATTTGAAATGCGAAATGACAGTAATCAACATAATGGCCATCAAAAGCATTAATAAAAGCAAAAAAAATATATAGTGATATATGCCCAAAATAACACAAAGCCATTTCCAGTTAACAAACAAGCATGAAATATTAAGATGACAGGGTCTTTTCTACCATAACACTTGGTAAAAACCTGTTTTCCAGGTGCGTGAGCTGGAGTCTGAGGTTGAAGCTGAACAGAGACGTGGAGCCGATGCTGTTAAAGGTGTCCGTAAATACGAGAGGAGGGTCAAGGAGCTTACCTACCAGGTAGATTTGGGGTATTCTTTTAAAATCAACTGCAATGAAGACAGTTAAAAAATCTATTCATTATCTTTACTATTCATAGGCTGAGGAGGACAAGAAGAATGTGACCAGACTGCAGGATCTGGTGGACAAGCTGCAACTGAAAGTGAAGTCCTACAAGAGACAGGCTGAGGAAGCTGTAAGTATCATTTTCTAAACAAGATGCTAATTTTCTAATTCCAGAGCTGAGCCATAATATGATTTCCACAAAATTTCATTCTGTAATCATCTGATTAGATATCTACATTGCATAACCTGCACCTTGAACTGAGACATTATTTCTGAAAGATTGAGTCTTTAGAATGATTGAGAATTTATTATTATTATTATTATTATTATTATTATTATTATTATTATCCAGGCTGTCTTAAAACATTAAAAAAAAGTTTATACGGGGGTATCTTGGAACAGAATCTTGGTTGAGGTTCAAGTTAAATTTCCCAATAAGAAATAATGTAAATGAACTTAATCCATTCCAGACCCCCAAATTTCCTGTTTAAATCAATCTACCTACCTATCTAATGATAAAAAGCATTAACAATCAATATAAAACTAATACTCACATGAAAAAGCACACATACAAAAGCAATAAACATGAAATATAAATGACAATTTATGAGTACTTTATCTGTATTGATGTGAGCTGATGGCATACTGGAAGTGGCAGGTGGAGAGAAGGAGGGATGGGTGGTTATTGTTTGGAAGGGGAGACGCGTCTTGATCCGTACCAGTTTTAGCAGCTCTGTTTTGTTTTGTCATGTTGCAAGTTTTCAGTTGAGTTGCGGCTAGATTTTTCTCGCCCGACCTGTTCGAGGTCCGAATTGGTAGAGTTGAACGCGTCTCGACCCATACAAGTTTTAACCTGTTTATAGTTTAGTACAACATGTTCATACGTAAATTGGTTATTTATTTTTAATATCATGTCTAATTGTTGCTAATTATTTTTTCATGTTATGGCACATATGAAGAAGTGGACTGTTTACAGTCTTGACGTGAAAGCTTATATAAAAGCTTCCGGAAACACCCTGTAGGCAACAGGATGTGGAAAATTAAATGATGCTCACAACCTGGAGCGCCGGAATGAAACGGAGCCTGTCACTAGCTCCATCACTGGGTCTGCCACCAGGACAACCTGCTGCACTTGCAGGCCATTTAAACCCTCTGGACAACAATTATAGCCTACATATTCTAAAACCCAACGTTCCTTTTTAATCAATATTAATAATTAAGTACAAAAGCATTTAAAATACTGTCATTTGATTTGTGGATGGTTCAGTACTATTAAATATGCTATGTATATAAATATTTTGTAAGATGCAATGTATTAAATTGAAATTAAATATTGTATTGTGTTAGGGCTAATAGTGTATTTCAGCTCAGTATCTCTAGAGTATCCCACATTTTTGACCGAGTTACAGCTAGATTTTCGACTGACCCATTCAAGTTGAAGGCGTCTTAACCCATATAAGTTTTAGCAGTAACGCTCTATTCCAAGATTTCAGTCAAGGAGTCGAAGTCGAAAAAAAATTGACAAACCCGTTCGACGTCTGATGCCAACTGATGAGGTCTTTGACTGCTGTACAGGAGGAGCAGGCCAACACTCACCTGTCCAGGTTCAGGAAGGTGCAGCATGAGATGGAGGAAGCCCAGGAGCGTGCCGACATCGCTGAGTCTCAGGTCAACAAGCTGAGAGCCAAGAGCCGCGAAGCTGGAAAGGTCATTTTTCGCATGTAGTATCTTGCTAATCATTTACATCTACATTATTAAATTACTGCTAATTGAATTGCATAGTATTTCTATATTAATATACTTAATTTAATGTAAAAAGAACATAAGTTTTAAAATAGTTTTCCAAATACAAAAATATTGCCTATATTCATCCTGCAAGTTATGAAATTATCATTTGCTTTTCATTTTAAGGGCAAGGATGATGCCGAATGAGGAACGAAAGAAATCATACAATGAATCTAATTTAATTGTGAAACCTAATTAATGCAATTAGTCAATAAAGCTGACTAATGGAATTTTTACTTTGCATATTGTTTTATTTCCGCCTTATTACACGGACTATGCACAACAGTAACCAAGTAATTTTTAGTCAAAAGATCTGCATATAAATTAATGTTTATTCACATATAATAGTTTTATATATCTTTTGTTTGTTTCACACTTGATGCTTTTAATCTGTATGAATTGTATTAATTGGAAACATGCCTACCCAAATTCTTTTTGCTATTTTAAAGGATCTTTCTTATCATAAACATATACTAGTTTTCTAAACTTTAATTACGATCCATCATATGATTCCCTTTTTAATGTGGAATTCTGATGGTAAACTATGATTTTTTTTTCCCCCCACTAATCACAATGCAGCTCCATACCAGTCTGGCACCTGCCCAGACCTCTGTCCTCACATCCTTTTAGCCTGATATAGAGCTACATGATTTATAACTGTGCTCAAGTTCAGTGATACCTTCTAAAGCTCTGACACTCATTTCTGTATTTAGTCCTGAGAACATCGCATCGTGGGTAAGATATCAGGTGTCATATTTTTATTGAATGTACTAGATTATTCTGTCACATGTCTAACATCTGTAGAATTTAACTACCCCATCTTCCTTTGCCAGTAGAATATTACCTTTCTACTAGGAGAAACTATAAATCCTAGACACAAAATCCATAAATTGATCTGACTATCCATCCAAAACCAGGAAGAAGGTCATGTTTAAAGGTTACCTCTAAACGCTAAACCTTTACTATTTCGGTACACAAAACACAGTTTTTGATCCTATTGATGCTAAATCTATTTTCAGATTCTGCCATGGTCATTCAGTAGCTGAATAAAATTTTGAATATTACTCCCATGTTATTTGTATATATTTCGATAATATGCCTCAGGAGACATGACTTCTGATACAAGATAATGTTAGAAATAAATGTTGATTTTTCCCAAAATATGATATGCATTATTCAACGTGTCATGCAAATCAGGTGGAAATTCCTTGAAAAGATCAGGACAAGAAACAGCTAAAGAGAAATACATTGGATTAAATAATCTCAGTCTGATTGAAAAGGTATCTATTGTAAAAATGTGTATGAATTTGAAGATTATTAAAGAAAAATCAACTGACAGATATCAACTAAATCTCAAGCTAAAAAGAACAAACCTACCATTTGATGGATCACTAGACACCGCAAAATGCATTAAGTGAAATGTATTAGATTACAGGATCAATTCTGATCACTAAAATTGAACTTGAATAAATAAATGAAGAACGTTAACAAAAATCACTAAAGCGATGCACTCAGACTCACCTCAGGCAAACTTGCCATGTAAATTTACAAGCATTGTATTTCTCACTGCATTTTACCATTGGTTTAAGAAATCCACACTAAATTTTCAGGCTAGAAAACATCATCTAGTAATAGATATTTTGTCAAAATGTTGTTCTGGGAACAAAAAGCTGCCACTCACCTTGTTTTGGTCAATCTCATATCATGACATGCCTTAGGAACCCTTAGGAACTTATGAATTGAATTATATTCACATGCTGGACAAAGGAACACAAGATTCACTCCACCTGGTAAACCCACAACAACCTAACATCTCTGACATAAGGCAATGTCAGACCTGTGTAAGTAGCTATTTTTGCATTTAGTCCTAATAAGACCATACTGCTGTGGATGTGATCAAGTTTCACATTTTTATTGAGTGTATGAACCCACTTTGTGACATGTGTAACCACTTCAGAATGTGATTTAGCAGCCAATTACTTTTATACCCCTATCAGATGATCCCACTCAGGGAAATCCAGGCTTCTAGAATATACATGCAACATTGAAATTTTATAATGCGATCTCATGTTTACCACACATTGATATTGCAATGAGGGCCTGAACCACCACTATTCTATAGGATAGGAAAATATATCCTTATATCCATAAATCTGATGAAGATAAACATTGTTTATAAATGGAAATTAGATTTTGGTTCAAGTTAAATCATTCCTGCTGCTCAAACCAAAACTAGATGAATACATTTATATGAAAGATTGTAACTTAATGAATCTATCTGACCTTGCTTACTCTGGCATACATCTTTTGCATCATAAATTTATTCCATTTTCACAGCCAGGTATATAATGAAACATCACTAAATAACCAAATATAAAAGCAGTTAGGTACCTCTTGAACAGCCTACCTCCTGCAGTATCCACTGAGAGTCCAGACAGTCATTAAAAGGTGTTGTGTTACACCCAATACCACATGCTCATCTAAATTATTCTTCCTCCCATTTCCAAGACTGTGCCAATAATTACAAGACCAGAAGTCATCAGCATGATCTTCCCTCTCTTCATATGAACTAGCATCACATGTTCATCCGTATCCTCATCTGCAGCAGAACAGTGAACTACTCAACACATCTGTGTAATTATTGTACTGTGCTAGTACTGACAGAATAGCTGGATGAGTTTTAACTTAAAGGTTGATGTAACTTAAAGTGTTTCATCATCTACTTTACTAGAATTTCTCAGCATTATTCACTAAACTCTTTTTTGTATCATGAGCTAATATGGCTATACTAGACAATATTGCTTTATTCATTCCACAAAAGATCAATAATGAATAATGATGTATATGTGTGTGTCTCTCTCTATATATATGTGTGTGTGTGTGTGTGTGTGTGTGTGTGTGTGTGTGTATATATATATATATATATATAGAGAGAGAGAGAGAGAGAGAGAGGGGCATGTTTAGGAATGTTTACCTCTTTTTTTTATATTCTAAATATAAATACGTTCTCAATGCTCTAAAATTCATAAAGGAGCCAAAACCATAAAAATGATTTTTAAATTGCAAAATTAATTACATCGTAAAATTAATCAAAATTACATTCTTCCACTTCCTTCCATTTTTAAGGTCACATAAAATTGTCTGCACTTGATTAATAAAGCTGCCATTTAAAAACAGCTATAGTTACATTTATTTATAGAAACACAAGTACATGTTCCTGGGTGACCACAGTGCCTTATGGGAGCCCTTTCCGGCTGCGCTAGTCACCATCATTTCTGCAGCCAGCATAAGTACCTTTTGTGTCTCACCGCAGAGGCCCGCTATACATGAGCAAAAGTTGCGGGAAGTCAAAGAAAATAATCCTTGAATGTTGCTGTATAACTATGACATTACAGTTTGTTGGTCAAAATGTGTCAACTTAGTCATTTCAAAACCTCTCTTAAGTCACCCCAGTATTTGCACCAACCATCCAATACACCAGTGCATTTTTGACCTCTAGCATACCAGATCTGGCTAATCAATACCTCATTGAGTTATATAACAACTGTGATTAATTAATTGAACTAGTAGTGAAATTTAATGAATACATAGAATGGCTGAGGTGTCCCTGAGGTCTGGGAACTCAAGTGTTCTACTAGACATCCAGCAACATATCAGTAAGACATTTTTGTGCTGCATATTTTCTAATATTCAATTGTTTTTTTCTGAGCAAATATACACTTACTACCCAGAAAAATAGCTTTAAACATTTTCTTTGACTGCCTAATACTATTGCATAGTACTGTATGTACATGCATGCATACATGCATGCATACATGCATGAATATATACACATGCTTGTATCACTGGATATCTAGCTTTTTATCATAAATAATACACCAAAAAAATCATAAATTATCTGGGTCACTTTCACAGCATGTTGCACATCCCTAAACATTTGCATTAAAGTATGTAAAGCTAGGAGGATTTGGTTATGCTTTACATTAACTGTATCTTCATAATGCCTTTATAATGGATTAATACAACATTCAGTGCACCTTCATAGTGCATTTATAAAACATTTCAAAGCAGCATGTACGTACACCTTAACATCCTAATATACCTAATCAGCTGTAATATACATTAATAACAAACATTATACAATAATAAATATTATACTCATATAATGCTTATTTAATGTATATTAAAGTTGTTAAAGAATGTTAGGATGTTAAGAGTTATGAAGGCATAATGAAGGTGCAGTCAATGTGAAGTGTTACCCAAGATTTTCATCATAATATTTTATCATTTTCACCATGTACCAAAAAATACACCTCACACCAATATGAAGTGAAAAATATTAACAATATTTAATAATCAATTCTGTAAACAATTTGAAAATATTTAATATTTTACTAGAGGCAGACAATATCTTACAAATCTATCCTTTAGTCTTGTAATTGCCATCTATACAAAAGATGATTTGGAGATTCAAGGAGTTAAAATGTTGCGAAAAAAACAATTTATCTGAAATTAATAAATATTAATACTCTTCATTTGCAGTCTTTTTTGTCGTGCTTTTTTAAGTTGTAGCACATATCTCAAACACTAGAGGCAATTTTCGTACGAGCCATTGTAGCTTGAGGCCAAGCTCCTGCAGAATCATGCTTGGGTAAATGCTTACAGGTTTCTTCACAAACATTGTTCTCTCTCCTTGAGAAGTATTAATCACCAACTGCTCCAAGCCAACTAACAGTTTTGTTCCCAGACTCCTGTGCCTATTTCACACCTGATCCTGCATGTAGGTGAAAATGACACTCAGATTTAACAAAATAAAATACAAAAATCCATGAGTGCACTTAAACTCCATTGAGTGCACTTTATTAGGGAAAAAATTTCATGAAAATGCACAAGATCAACAGTATGTGTCATTTACTCGCTCCTCCCCGCCACTTACCACCTCCCACACCCTGATTCAGCAGCCACCCCCCCCCCCAATCCCACAAATGCTGCAAACTCCAACACATATCTTCTGCAGGTCCTCATCAGAGGCACCAGCGGTTAGCCAAACTTTATCATGTAGGTTTCAGTTGCATTTCAGTCTTGCTGATGAACACTGTATCTCATAGGAATCTGGGAATGCATACATAATTGGAGCTGAACTTTATACAACAAAAGAAAAGCGTTTGGACATATAAGCTTCACAAAAACTACACAAGGCATAAAACTCAAAGGTCTATCTAAAATCCCAGGCAAAGGAATAGCAGTCATTGTCACACGTTCTGTTCTAATACTTGAATCCCTCAATTGGCCCTTTTTGACTGGGTGGTACAGTAGAATGGAACTCAGCTGGAGGCATGATGGCAGTGTGGCAGTTTCCATTCCCCAACAGTGAGGGCGGTGCTGACTTAGCTTTCAGGAGCAGGACTGAGGGATACGTCAGGGTAGCAGAATCAAGAGTCAAGACCCTGTGGTTTCATCTGCATCTCTCCAGAATGAGAATGGGCGAGGGGGTTGGAAAACAGTAAATACAGGTAAACAGACTTCCTGCTACGAACAACTGGTGGTTCCTTCACTTGAGTCAAGCAGTCAGAAAGGTACCTCTGATTAGCAAACAGCCTTGTCTTGGTTAACTTCCGACTCTACAGGTTACATGTTCCATGACGACGCTCGCGACAGTTAAAGCAGCTATGTCAAGGGTACAAGGGTAAAATGTCCCAAGAGGACTTAAAAGTGTACAGCGCTGTAAGCCCTTACAAGGGCTGTTCGGCTGGTGGCGTGCACCAAGGCACTATTGGGTGGGACAAAGGGTGTGTGAGTCATGTTCTCTCTACTGTCTTTCTATATACTTAGACACACACACATACACATACACACATTTTAAAAGACATGTAAAAGTCATTTTAAATGTTAAAAACCTTTCAGTCATTCGCTCGTAAATATCAAACTATATTTAGAAAATCCACATTATACTGCAACACCAGGGAAGCTGCGGAGTTGGATACTAATGTTATTTTCGGCTCCTTTTAGTTTGTCTTTCATGCAGGAACTAAAGCAAGCCAACAACCCCCCCCCTCCCCCCGCCCAGGATAAGCTAAAGCAAATGCATGCACCCTTACATTAAAGTCGGCAGTTCCCCGTTTTTATTTCCTTCCTTTAGAAAAACGGTTTAAAAAGCAGATTAGTGGCCAGAGGTCTCATCATCTATATTTATTTGTTTGGCCAACACCATTGTGCTATATAGCTAGAAGCTGGAAAACCTGGGCGTCACAGGCCAGAGTGACGCGGGTACGAACTACACACGGATGGAGCACTCAGTGACACGCACAGACACGCTTAGTCACCACATGTCGCAGGGCTGCTGAATTTCACGATTATTACTCTTGTGCCATGGTAGAATAGGATCTGTTGACTCTCTGTCCCTTAATTCTGGAGGTAATGTCCAGACCACAGGAAGGGTCACATTTTAGAGAGAAGTATATGCATAATTTGCGTTCTCACTGTTAAAGACATTCTTTGCAAATTATCATGGCTACTTGTGGCAGATTCAGAGGTGTGCTGTTCTGTATCTATATCACTCATAAATTAACCTCCACGGGGGAGGGAGGTAGTGAATTATGGCAGGGAGGCTGGAGGAAAAGGAGGAGGAGGAGGAGGAGGAGGAGGGAAAGCTGTTGCTAGGCATCGACAAAACCCAGCGAGACCCTTCGGTAATGACTCACAGAAGGGGGTGGGGTGATAATGGAAGATGTTGAACCACAGAGGGAGAGTCAGAAAGGATGTGGTGGGCGAACAAATGGGTGTAAACCAGAACCAAGATGGAATCAGGTGAAGCCTAGAGAGATGCTGACAGATACAGGAGAAGTAACTGGAAATACAGGAGGACTCCTAGCGTCGGTGTAATGGAGAGGCCCCTGCCACATTCTGAGGTGTTTTCCTGGGGTAAAAAGGGGAGAAATAGAGACGTGTATGAGTGCAATCACTCCAGCCAGGCAAGTGTTAATGTACAGCCACAGTACGGAGTGATCCCACAGCTCTAATCTGCTTAGTACTGCGTCTCACCTGGATGTTGTAGTCGAAGCAGGTGGCCGGGCCTTTCCGGTAGCGCGCCAAACTCAGCAGTTCACATGGGTTCTCTTCTTGGTCTGGATGGCTCGGCTGAGGATGCTTAACTGGCAAAACTCCCCATGCACTAAGTTGGCATACGATAAACTTTGATCCAATGCTGTGGATACAGCTTAAATTTCACCTACTCCATACACTGAAGAAACTGGTGCAGAACACAAAGAAATATCTGGAACTTTTTAGAGACAGTGTGCATATCAAGTTTAAATTGGAAAAACTGACTGAGCAACTATTATGTAACTGAGGGTTAGGATGTCTGCAGCTGAAACTGCACCTTCATTATGAATAGTTAAGAATACTTCCTACATAATGCTTAAAATGAATATTTTAGATGCAGTTGACACACTGGAACAGAGTGTAATGTTATTAGGATACTGCTATTGAGATGTGTTTATTCAATGAGGTGTGTGTTAAACTCTTTCTGGTTGCTGCATATGGCTGATGTGAAAATTGGCAGTTTGTTCTGATGTGACTGCTGTATCAAACAGTAGCATTCTCATTGACTTTCGAGAAATTATTTCAGTTACTAATGTTTAATAGTTTTGTAGTTAATTGTCGTATCATTTTGGGGAATGGGGGCCTATGGAAAATGTAGCCTAGGGGCCCCTGAACTGGTTAATCCGCCACTGGGGAAGGCACTTTGTCACTTTCAGTTGTAGGTACCAGAAGGATACACTGTGTCTTAACCCGAACCAGCTTCTCCATCTCGCAAAACTTGCAGGGAATGTCTGCCACCACAAAAAGCAAGTTGGTCTTCTCTATCCTCTTCGCATGGAACAACCTCCAGTGGAAAGGCACAGATTACACCCAGTTTAGCAATCACACTCACAATGACGATGATGCATGTTCATAAAGGCTGCCCCAAGTTGTCTCACACAAACACGCACCTGGAACAGTTGCCACAGTCCTGCAAGGTGTTGTAAGAGTTTGTGGTATTGGTGAAATAGAACTGGCTATAAGTGGTCATACAGCTGCTATCCCGGAAGTCTATCCCCTCTGCCTCCACGTCACCTAGCAGAGTAATGAAAATCCGCTAGCTGGGCCTCCATAGTGATATTCCAGAACTGCCTGAAGGCTGAACTGGCCAACTGGATCAAACTGACCATCAATTATACGTCACAGTATCTCTAAAGATGAATTTTAACAGTTACGTTCTTCTTTGCCTAGTGATGCAAAAGGGCCACAGTCATTTTTAAAGAACGACCTATGAATACACAATGGTTGTGACTAACTAAAGACTAGTAAGCAGCTAAAGTTTGTTAGATGGGTTTGTACACACTTACCACTGTTGAACCAGCTATGGTACACCAGTCCATGCAAGAGGTGCTGAAGCAGAGACCTGAGTAAAAACAGAGATACGAGTAATTAACCCATGAGCTCTCATGATATACTGTATCCCTAACTTCCACTGCGTTCCCAAGTCTGTTGTGTTCTGCTAAAACTGACAGGCATGATTGACAGAATCCAAACTGACTCCTAATAACCATGACTGCTCTTACAGCCAATTACAGTATTATACTGTCAAAGAAAGTACCATTTTGTACCTTTGAGGTTACAATTACTTGTGAGTGGGGCTGTACCCTCCAATTGTACCCTAGCTGTAGATAAATGTTTGGTCTAATTTATGGTACAGAAATGGATTGTGAGGAACATTTTTGTACCACTGGGGTTACATTAATGTTGTTTGCACCTTGGAGAACAAAACCCTACCAGGGCTGTACCCTTTGTCTGACAATATACAGCTTTGAAAAGGCAAGCACTGTTTGAGGATGCAAGACTTTACAGCCGGTCCGCCGAGGCAAACCCCTGAAGTCTTACCAGGTTGCGGTTGACGTCCACCAGGCAACACTGAGGATATCTGTGATGGTCGGCTTAAAAAAAACGACACAAGACATGAAAACGTTGTGCTTTCTCAACCGAGTCACCTGGGAGGGGCAACATAGCAAGCAAGGGAGAGAGGGATCATATTGGAAGGCTGAACAATGCTACTCACCACGAAGACTCCCCGTCGGGCTGCCCCCGTGTGGCTGCTTGCTGTCGGTTCACATGCTGACTGGTAGTCAAAGGACTGCTTACGGGCATAGATGGAGCTGGTGTACAGAGCATACATAAGGGACGGATCTACATCTCCAAAGAAGTGTCCCACCTAGTTTAGAGATGGATGAATGGACAGTCAGATACCCAGGCAGAAGAAGACAGACACCAGACTTTTCAAGTATAACATGCAGTTCATTTGGAAAAAAAACACAACATATTAAAATGTTCAAAGCTTGAAAAAGGCTTAATTAGATTTTACTCTTGTAACTCCCATTCTCCATGGCTAAATGTATGGTTTCAAGTCAGCTACAGAGGTGAGAAACGACTTAATTCCAGCTCTAACATGTTGATCTTTGCTGCATTGTCACCCATTGAAAGTCAACAGAGAGCCAATAACAAATAATGATTGCGGCTTTTCATCTGGGTCCTTCCTATGGTGACCAGATTTTCAAAGTCCCAAACCAGGATACTTGTGTAGCACATATGTATGTGTCCAGCCATATCAATACATTTCCAAGTGACCAAAGGGAGGTAGGTTTGAATCCATAATTTTGTTTAATGACTGATCCCCACACCAGATGGGCAGCTTGTTAAAGCCGGGACATATTGTTTTATTTCAGTTATTTCTTGGGGCAACAGGACACATAAGCTGATATCGGGACCATGCCAGTCAAACCGGGACGCCTAGTCACCATATTCCTGTCCCCAACAATCCTTCCTTATGATTACTCCAGTAGGTTTAGACAAATTACTAACTAGGGAACCTATAGCAGATCCCTGTAACAATATAAACATTCATGTACCTTTTTCCAGTGGTCTTTCTGGTTGGACATAATTAGGAATCCTCCATCGTCTATCAGGTAACAGAGTAGATCCTACAGAGAAGGGCTATCATAGGTAAAATGACCAAACAGATGACTACATCCCTAACCCCACTACCATTCCCCAAAGCCATAAGATGCCTGAAAAAATATGTACTATTGACCAAAGGTACAAATAAATCATACCAGGCACAAAGATATATGGCCATGCTCTGTATAAATTGGTTTCTGTTTATTGTAAACAGTTGGGTAACAGCAGGTTGTATAGAGATTAGGACATCGACCAAAATGCTGCCCAATCCTTGAAGGGCTCTGGCTGTCAAGTCAAGTACCAAAGATAATTCAACTGCATAAACAACAAAAGTGCAAAACTGCGATGCATGCAAATTCCTTGGGGCAGAAAGCCTGTCATACAAACTATACATAACACTAGAGTACACCAAACACCATATACCAAACACCATATACCAAACAAAAACAAGCATTAGATCTCAAATTTTCAAAACAAATGTTTCCAGATAAATCTGAATCTGTTCTGTTGCTGCATTTTCTATGTTCAAGTGTTGTAAAAGAAGGAAATTTGGTCTTACATCACTGTTGACTTCACAGTCCATCTCACAGCTGCTGGATGGCCCACACTGGTCCGAGACAAAAGACCATCACCATCAATCAGCACAGCAATGCTGCTAGTGTGTGTGGGAGGGGAGAGTTCTCATATATATATATATATAAATAAATTACACTAATTACCTAATCTGTGTGTGTGTGTGTTATGTTATGTTATGTTATGTTATGTTATTTGGATGTTGTGGGAACCAGTTTTTGGTCTCTTTTTTTTTTTGCTTGGTTACTGGTGGTGAAGGTTAAGTAGGGGTTAAGGTTGTCATTGTTGGGGTTATATTCCCATAGAAATTAATGCATTCATGTCTTTGTAGGGACTGCCCAAACACGTGTGTGTATGTGTGTCTGATTAACACAATGTTATTATCATTAAGGAATATTGAAATACTGAAACGAAAATGATTCGAAAAAAAATTAAATACTAAGGACAGAAACATTAGGAGAAAACTGGAATATATATGAAACAGTACATAACTACAAAACTCACATAGGCAGGAATAACCAGAAACAGAGATACAAAAAGCAAGGACCAATAAAAGAACATAATTAACATGGAAAAACAAAACTAATCACTAACAAATATAAAACATAGTCAAAGTCTGGCCAGCCTCAACCCTACAACAGCAGTAATGCATGGTTCTTAGCTCACAGCTACACAGCAGCCTGAGGAACAAGGGAACACACTGGGGACTGTAAAAGGTACCAAACACAGGAAAGAAGGGAATGGCCACAACACCTACATATTGGTTAAAATATCAGTACTGGACAATATTTGTTAAAAATGAAGATATTGATGTGTGTCAATATTGGCTGATATTTAAATTATCAATATTCAAAGTTAGGATCACCAGAGCTAAGACATAACTACTACAGTAATGCAGCTGATTGCATTGGACAATCAGCCATTTTCCATACTGAAGGACGAGGGACTTCATAGGCTCATTCACCACGTAGATGATGTCACAGAGTACCAGCCCATAATGCGTTCATAATTCATTATTAAATCTGGTCAGCTGATCGATTTTTTATTTTCCACAGAATAAAAAACTATGTACGGTAATTTCACTAATCTGCGCCGGTATGATTGATAAGTTCCATTGTTGGAAACCATAAGGGTTAATATGCACCCAGGGTAAACCACAGAATATGTATCTGCAAAGATTTGACCCAGACCAATCCCCCTTGAAATATTTTTTAACTTAACCACCGGGGATGACAAGTAGGTTGTGTAAAATGTTGACTTTCATACTGCAGGCCATTGCTAGAGTTAACAATCTGTACCCTGAACAGATACACTACAACACGACTGAGAACTGCTAGAAATATATATTTTTATGGCTATGTTGTAAGGCAGGGGTACTCAGTTGGTGTTCGGAGTGAAACACAATGTAATCCAGACCACACAATCGATTCCCAACCACCACCCCCCACCCCGTCGGCAAAATCTACCAAGGGCCTCTAATACAAAACTAAAACTGAAATGAAAACTAAATTATGAAACACAAATTATGAAATATAAACGGAAATAAAAATGGATAAAAACTAATAAAACCAAGCTTGAACAAAACTGCAAAGGAAAGAAAACAAAAAAAACATACTAAAATAAAAACTAATTTAAAAAAATTTCTTCACAATTACCTTCATTAAAAGGCATGTGATTCTTTGTCAATTTCTGAGTGTAAAAAGATGAACATTAACATGTTGAATAGTGTACAGTCGTCCCTCGCCACTTTGTGCTTCGACTTTCGCGGCTTCACTCTATCGCGCTTTTTTGTCTCGATTAAAAAGTTGATCGAGACAATGAAAATGATACACCGCTACGCATCGGAAGCATCTTTGCTCTTCGTAATTAAATGTACAATAATAACAATATGATATTTATAACGTCTAATATTTCTTATTTTCTATTAGTTTTTCTAATATTTTGGGTAATATTAGTGTAATTGTCATGACCTGCCTGTCCGATCCTCTTATACATGTGTGCCACGCCCCCTTATTAACCACATATGCAACCCCGATTGTGATCAGCTGGTTTGTCAATTTGATTCAGTTTGAAGTCCACGTCAGTGTCTAAAACCCCAGGTCTGTCATTGACGTTTTGATGCTACATGTTCCTGTGTCCTGCATTTGGAGTGATTCCAAATAAACCCTTCAATCCTGATTCCTTGTCTCCCCGTTCCTGCTTCTGTGTCCAACAGTCATAAAGTAATGGTGACTAAAGGGTGTTATTTCATGTCTAGAGGGCTCTAATAATGTTAAAAACCGTATTTAGAAGGTTGTAAACAGGTTTCCAATGCTCTAACTATGAAAATATTCGATTTATAAATAAAGAATCATACTACGCGGATTTCGCCTATTGCGGGTTATTTTTAGAACGTAACTCCCGCAATTAACGAGGGACCACTGTATATGTTTTTGTGTGTTCATAAAAGCACAAGTCCCCTCTATGAGTGATTACAGAAAGTATGCACGTGTTTAATCAAGTGACTGTGTATGGGGCACCTTATGTGAACCCTGCCGATTGTCGGACTGGTTGCTGGCCAAAATCTTGAACTTGTCCACCCAGGCTTCCAGGTCCAGTTTCACACCCACAACTGGTCCGACATAGCACAAGAAAAAAAAAAATGAAACAAACGCATATATTTTTTTACATTGCTTAGTCATACATTCCAATAAAATTCCTCAAGACACAGCATGTTCCCATACCTGCAGGTTTAATAGTCTTGCCACCTACAGATACTTCCACCGCAGTGCTGACCAGAACACTGGCAGTGCCATTGTCCAAGTTTGTGTCCTCAGTAGCTGGGGAGAAAGTCATCTGTCATTGGTACTATAAAGTGTACAAGCTGTGAAGATACTTTTCGGCTGCCCAAATTCAGGCTGCAAATAAGACTGTTTAAACAGGAAATTACATCCTCTAGTCATGCACTAACACTGTACCACAACCTGAAATAGACTGGAGCCATTTTGGAAAAGGAACTGGTCTTTTTTCCAAGCTAATGCTGCCACCTAGTGTTAGTTATTATTATTGGGCTCACTCACGCTTTTTCCGAGGTACATGAAAGATGAATCCTTTGTTGTCCATGGTGCGGTGGTAGTAGTTGGCATTGTAGGGCTCTGGGTCCTCAGCCCATGAGTCAGCAGCCCTGAGAAACAGAAAAGCCAATAATCATTAGATAAAAAAACACATTAAAGAAATTACCGAAGCAGAAGGTGTAAGACCACCGTAATATCCTCAGCTCTACGCAAAGGCCAGTTTATGAACACAGTGGACTATTTATCTGTCTCAAAAAATAACACGTCTAAAATCTTTAACACAAATTATTATAAGAACATGCAAGTGTCATTCGACATTAACTAATAGTGCAGTGACTGCTTTCCCATTCCGCTGGGAGACTCACGTATTGGGGAATATCCGAGTGACACCACCGTCTGTGGACACGAAGAATGCCAGAAAGCCATATCTGCAGGCCAAGAAGGGAAGAAAGCAGTGGAGATGGAACCATGGCTAATCGAAGCCCATATAGTGCTCTAAGCCATACCTGTCAAGTTTTGGATTTGAAAATAAGGGAAATTTTCCGGCACCCACCGCGAGCCATCCCACCACCCCAACCAAGCTCCAGTATCCAGTATATTTTAAGACAGGTGTACAAGAAATCTAAAATAACCACCTGTCATTTACATTTTATTTTCATTACACATTTTCTTTTAACTTCTCATGTTCACTCACTAATGACTTATTATACAGATTTGTTGCAGACTGAATCCGGGCCATCCCTGCCTGCTAATATGCTCTTCTTTCTATGTAGGAAAAAATGTCATTCATAACTAGCAGATTGGAGTCATTAAAAAGCTAGTAGTTCACATATTCTTGTATCAGATTTAAAGTCATCTGTCAATCAACCTGTACATCTTACCAGTAATTTATACTCCAAACTCCACTATTTTACGAGACATATGAAATTGCGTGTGTGACGCTAGCAAAGGACTGCTAGAGGAGAAATATTAATGCAACCAGATGAAAAATGCATCCCTCACATTATGAGATGCTGATATCGCGTGGGTGTGTTAGTGTGATTGTCATCCTCATCAGTGTGCTTATACACCCATGCAGCTGCGAGGGAAAGAAAAAGCCTTCAAGCCTGTTTGCATGCAGTTTTAACGCAGAGGAATCTTAGACCATCACTTCTGAGTGTCAAAAGGCAAGGATTCCCCAACCCAGGTACTGCAATTGAGCTCACAAATGCAGCATTTAATCATCCTGCTTTTTTTTACTTGTGTCAAAAAAGAATTCTGTCAAGACCTATATTTGGTGAAGGGGTAGTACAGTATGTTGTGAGTCTTGCTGTACTTACGTGGTCAGATCTTTGTTCTTCCATACTCTTGCTGCCAACTGCCAGGTTATGTCAGCTTCCAGGATGAGGTTGTGAATGAGAACTTGATTACCTGATTTACACACACACACACACACACAAACACACACACACGCACACACACACACAGATTAGGTATGTATATCTTTGTGGGGACTCTCAGTTCATTTCTCTAGGCAAATCCCTAATCTCATCTATGACAACATTAACCCCTACTCAGCCCTAACCTTAACCATAAGTAATCAAACAAAATCACTCAAATTAATACTTTCAGTACTACAAGGTAATTACAACAAGTTCAGTCCAGAATAAACAATTATTACCATGAACATTTACTTTGTTTACACATATCTAAGTGGTACAGTAGCACTCACAGTCCTTGGACTCTGCTGTGATCTCCACCATAAGCGAAATGAAGTTCTCCAGGAAGAGGGTGTTGTTCTCAGTGATGCGCAGTTGTGTGCAGTAATCCCTGAAGAGGCAGCGTCACCAGCCAGAGAAAGACAAGCAACCTCAATCTCTACAAACACTAATGAGACTCGCATTAAGACAAAGGCTCACCCCCCATATTCAGCTACAAGAACACATGGACAAGGTTAGCAAAATGTTACGAAGAGATGACAATGACTGTCAAATTAGAAGCACAACCTCCAGTTGTGTCGAAATAACTACAGAAAATCAATTCTGCATGCACATACCAGCATTATTTTGGAACGTAACTTTCATCTTTTATATAGAACTTAAAAAAAAATAAAAATCTCATAACAAGTATTCACACTGTCAACAACATTGTACAATAAACAGAAGTTATTTACGCAGAATCTGCCTTTTCTAAATCCTTTTGTATATGCTAAACTCCCTTACATGCTTATTAAGATCAGAGATGGAATTTTCAGGTGCAGAAAGTTAAAATCCAGACCAAGATTTTATTTCAACCAACCTGTTGGATATTCTATGAATGTGAGGCTTGGTTCAAACCAGTGGCTTTTCAGTGTAACAATCTGTGGAGAAACAGCAAAGCAAACTAACCCCATGACTCTGCGTACCTGGGAGCAATGAAGACGTGTCCCTCAGACTCAAAGGAGCTTGGAAGCATGGACTCCAGATCTGAAAGTGAAGGGGTCACACAGAAGAAGCAGTGCCTCAGATATGCCACGAGAGGCCAGAGAATGGTACAGAGACCAGGCACGGGACATATTTAGGGATATTCAGTTAGACAGGGTGTTTTAACCAATGCATTCCATATGTTTTAATTGTAAATCATAACAGGCTATTACAATAACAATGTAGATGTTACATCAACAAAGAGTCAAGCTACGTAAAATATGTTACTTGATTTAAATTCATCACCCATGTCCTTTTCCAAGACTGTATTATATTCAGGTTTATTGTCACATCACAATTTACACAGAGTAAAAATGGAGCGAAATTCTTACGTTTAATTTTTATATGTAACATTAACATATGCTGAAGTATTTGGTAATATATCTCCACAATTTATGCTGCTTGAATGAGGAAAAAAATAAAGCAATACCAGCATATCAATAAATCATTACATATCAGTATCAATAAATCAAGACGTGCTTTTCCTGCATGTACACTGATTGTGCTTTAAAATGCCGAAGCAGTTCCACCCACAGTCAGGTGGAAACTGACAGGAAGCAGGACAGGATGGGGACATGAGTGTCATACTCACACTGCAGCTGGAGCATCTCATCGCTGAGGTCTGCGCGGAGATAGTATTCATTGTATGGAGGCAAAACTAGACCCAGACTGGGGGATGGAGGGGGGGGGGGCACAAGATGAAAAAACAAGCTGATTCTCAAAAAATAATTTAAGAAGCATACATAGCAATAATTCATCAGGATACATCACCGGCAAAGATGCCTGTGTCATCCTAAAACAACTCTGAATGCACCCTCTCACCATAATCTATACCCTAAACATAAAAGTACCAGCTCCTATGATGTAAAAATAATCTGATATTTCAGAACACACATGCACAATCAGATTCAACAGAACTTCCTCTTTGCCATTTACTTTTGATAACAATTACTGCACCTCTAATGTAAGTTGATGTACATTTATTATCTTGAAAATCTGTCACACACATATAATATATATATAAAGAATATATATATATATATATATATATATATATATAAAGCAACTAGAGTTTACCATAAGCCTTCTCAACACCTCCTACCTATACCTCAGTTTTTATTTATACTGTCGATCTCACCTTATAATATAAAGTAACACCACCTAAACACAGCGACTCCCACCAAAGAGAGCACGACACTTTTTTCCTCCCACCTGTAGTCAGTGCCATTAATGGGCATCCAGGTGTACGTCCGTCTGACTTCATCAATGTATCGCTGAAGATCAGAGAGGAGGCCTCAAAACTCACATCACTCATAGCAAGTTTTATTAAGGACAAATGCGGGTCACGTGACCAGCATCAGTTTGGTGAACCAGAACAGAAATGGGGACTTGCCTCATCAATCGACTTGACGAGAGTTGTGATTGTCGCCTGGCCAGGCCGCCCGTCGATCATCTGCCGACGGATCTGGAGGGAAGAACAGAGCAGAAGATATGGAGTATAAAGATGGTCAGTCTGAAGGTGATGGTGTTGGACCCACAACCAAGACAGAGATGTCCTGCTATCTAAGCAAGGAGCTTCATCAAAAAAAAAATCAGATATAAGCTTACAAGGCTATATAAGATGCAACATCACATACAAGTTTGTGGTTTATGTGAAGCAATTTTTTGGGTATACTACAGTGACTAAACTGTTCCCAGCAGTGTGGAGGAAAAAGCCCGGAAAATTCTGAGACCACAGGTTCCAGATCCTCACCTCCTGTTTGCTGGCATCCTCAAGCTCAGCATCCAGGAAATCCAGGGTTACAGGTTCGGGCAGGTTCACCATCTGGGGTGGGGGTGGAGGGGAGGACACCATCAAGTGTCAGAGATGCTGATGTAGGCTTCTTCCTCTACTCTGACTATGCCTGCCAGCACTGGGATTCACTCCTGTGTCGGACTGGGTTAGACCCCTACGAGGACAAACCTACATGCACATCCTGAATGTAGAAATATTACAAGCTATGCATTCCTTAAAAATCACATGGCTGGGAAGCAGGCTAAATACACCCCATTTTTATAGATAAAAACTTACCAAAGACTCCACCCCCCCGACCCCCCACAGCCCTGACCAGGAAGATGGATAAAGTTACCTAATCAAAACATAATATACTTCATACTTTATATTTTACTAGTTTGAAATATTAAGCATAAAAATCATAAATTCTTAATCACGATCTTGCAAATCATCTTTAGTCATATCTCAGTTATTTTCTTTTACAAAATGATTTGTCTAATGATGGAAAACACACAGTAAATTCTGACAATATATTAATTAAAGATCTCTTTACGAAATCCATTATGGCAATTAAAGGAGGTGGAAAAAATGGATCTGAATGCAAATATTTTAAGAAGCTCAATGAAACGCTGATAAAAGTCCAGGCAAGTGCCCTAAAATGGCTCATCTCATTGGCTGCTGTGTCATCATCCTTGTTTTATTCATCGTTTTCCCTAAGGTCAATAAATTACCGTCACTCTTTCAGGAGTTCTTAAAACCTCTTACTTTTTTGCATAAGGACTTTAATTGAGCACCCATTTAATGGGCCTAATTTGTAAATAAAATGAGTATCTAAGTATATAAATAAACTTCTTGTGTGTTAGGGGTATAACGCTTCATTCTGTATTCAGAATCACACATTTCATTACAGGTACTGACTCGTGAATTAGCAGCACAGTGAGAAACAAAGTGTGCGATACTTCAAAAAAGCAGGTCCATCTTGGACAGGCCCGCAGCGAATCACCACTGTCACTGTGACTCTGCGGCCCGGGGAGAGTCACTCACCTTCGGATGCAAGTTGGGGTGCAGGAGGACGTATCCGTTCGGGTCAATGGCGAAGATGTATCCATTCGCACCCAGCTACAAGAGAACAGGATTGTTTTGGAACATATACAAATACATCATCATTCAAGGTACGGTGCAGCAAGAGAACATAGTACACGTCTGTCTGGGCCACAAACAACATTCAGCAGGTTAGGATACTGTGCTTGTAATCAGAAGGTCACCAGTTGAAATCCTAGAATCAGCAGAATGATTTCACTTTTAGGCCCTTGAGTAAGGCCCCTAACCCCCCAGTTGATCTTCCTTATGTTGCTTTGGATTAAAAATGTCTGCTAAATAAAGAAAATGTATATGGAATTCTGGGCTACACGTTCCTCATGATCACAGCTGCTTGTAAGGAATGTTTCGGACTGAACATTGAGGCGATACATCTATCTGTGCGGAAGCAGACGTGTCCGCTTCATTCAGGGCTCTGTGCGCACACATTCAACCTGGCCAGCATGAGTCCTACACATGCTGAACTGACACTTCCTGGCTCGGGGCCAAGGCCTGGCATCTTAGCAGTGTGACACGTGTGTCTCCAAGTTCCCACAGAAGTTCCTGGCAAGGTGGGGGGATAGGGAGGCTAATTCGCCAGCTGCTTTTCGTGCAGCTGTCAGCACAGCCCTGGGGGCAGGGCGAGCGGTCGAGAGGTCACTCCGTACTGCTGTCAGACCTTCCTACTCTGTTATGACAGAGTGGAGGGGGGCACAGACAAGGAGATGATCTGTCAACCCCAAAACGCAGCCCACCCTGGACATTTCTCTGGGCGCTCGGTACACCTACATTGTAGCGCGGGGTAAGCTTCTTGATCTCGTCAAGGTGGACATCCACACCCATCACCCCCAGAATGAGCTGGTTCTACAAAGGATAAAATGTCGGAGAAAACACATGAACATAAGGTCAGGTCTAGAGGAGTCAGACTCTTTTGTTATGGACTTAATAATACACATATTAACCATTTAAATAGACAGCACGGATTGGCCAACTCTACCTGTGAGTTTCCCTCCATGGTGAGGTTGAAGACGGGCATTGTTCCAGTCACTACCAGTCCCAAACCCTAAAAAGTGCCCAGAGAAACTGAAAATCAGGGGGCTGATCTAACACCAGGTATGCGGAGGTTTGCTGGTACACAATGCAATGCAGCAACCGAAACAGAACCTTCCTCTAACCAAAGAGTTTAACCAAATTTTGGAGGTGCTCTCCAGGACAACAGGCTGCACTGGCCCAGGGTTCCCTGGCTTACCAAAGCATCCTGGTATACATTGGTCCACTGGACCTGCTTTGCCCGGTTCCCTGCCAACACCATGGGCCGTCCCAGAACATCCAAGTATTCCTGGCCAGAGGGACAGAGTCATTAGTCTTCACAGTTGTGCTCTGTGCTTGCCAAGAAAGTGTTTTTATCAAAACCAAGCTGAACTGCGCTACAGGTCAGCAGTTAACATAACCCATAAAGAACTGAGGATTTATTCAACGGCCAATGGAGGACCTTTTCTGCACGATCCTGCGCAGTAAACCAGATGCTGCATATCAGCCCCCTCAAGCACAGCAAGCCACCTTCGTTATACTAACCTGTGTGTTGGTTCTAATGGCGCAGATGGAGCGGATCTCAAAGTAATACCCTGTAAGACAGATGGAGGGAGGGGGACAGGCCAAGAGAGAATGTGAGTAGAGGAACTTGAAATAATAGCCAGGCACTGACAGGCGCCTGACATAGTTCCAAACCCGTATCTAATAGCCAACTTCAAAGCTCAGCTGTCGCAGATTCCAGGGACAGAATATGAAGAGAGGTGACGGGTCATATTCTCACTTGACCTTTGATTCTGCAAGCCTGAAACTAAAGGAGGTGCAAGGGGGGAGTGAGAAGACAAAGGCATCCCGCCTGAGATTTTTCTCCCCATAGGGGTTGAGGGAAACGTCGGTCACCAGCAAGCCCACACACACACATAAATGCACAATTGGTCCCCACAATATAATATATACAGTGGTACCTCAGAATTCAAATTTAATCCGTTCAGAACTCCGGATCGAATCCTAAAAAGTTTGAGTTGTGATCAAATTTTCCCCATAAGAAATAATGGAAAACCAATTAATTGGTTCCCGGCCCCAAAAAATTACACCTAAATATGTTTTTTTAGCATTTAAACACAAAATGAACCGGATAAAACAAGAAGAGCATATACTGTACTAAACACATCTAAGCACATTTATCAAAACAGAAAATAAATGTATCCAAACAATGTGTAAATTTAAAAAAAAAACAATGTGTCCTGCCCCGATCGTCCTCTCCTTCCACGTGCCACGCCCCCTCGTTAACCCCGTGTGGAACCCGTAGTTGTTTTCATTAGCCCTCTGTATTTCGTCCGCATTTCAGTTTGTTTCCCCTGTCCGGTCATTGTATTGTCCGTCTGCGTTTTGCCTGCCTTACCTGTAATTAAACCCCATATTCCCCGATACCCTGATGTCTGCGCCTTTGTCTCCGTTCTGTCCCCGCTGGGCACAACAATATTATTATAATTAAACATATTAATGGTTTATTATTAATATTAAAATAATGAATAAGAAATCTTTATTTTTAAATGTATTTTATTATATAATAATAATTACTGTTACTGTCTATCATTGTCTTAATGTATTTTTACTGTCTAAATATATGTATTCAGCTAGTGTAAACACGCACGATGCTATCACAGCGAATGTGAGGCTGAGACTGAAGCATTACCCTTTGTTTCCGCTGAGAGACGTGCTGCGTGACTCATTTCCCTGCGCGTACAAGTTATCTTAGGTCGGTGTTCACGGTTTGACTTCTGAGATTCAGATCGAGCTCTAGGTCATTTTTTTCGAACTGGTTGGTTCGACTTTTAAGAAATTCGAGTTCTAATGAGTTCGAGAACTGAGGTACCACTGTACATGCTCACACGCACACACACCCATGCACACACTAGTGGTGGGCGATATGGCCTAATATTATCATCACAGTATTTTTCACTCTTTGGAGTATTATATCATGGTATTTTTTCCAAGTTTTGGGAGAAGCAGCAAGTCCTGTCCCTTTGTGTAAATAAAAAAATGTTTCATAATATATTAAGTACACTTAAATTGCTATTACAGTTGGGTATGGGTGGTCTTATTTAGAAAAGATATAAAAAGTGACATAGGTAATGTTCTCATATTTGTTTTATAGTTGTTGGATTCACAACGCAATGGAATGACAAGCTGCTTCAGCTGAAAACAGTGCATTTTACAGTTCATTTCAAATAAAACAGCGTTGCCAACTTTGGTCAGCTGGCTGGAGTGAGATTTTCAATACAAGACGAATCACAAGGCACACACACTTACTTGTATGTAAGATTTTTTATCTTGTAAACAGTCTGTAGGGTTTGCAAACTACCCCAATGATTTTGATGTTGCTGATTTTAGGTTTATAATGGAATAATATAGATTTGCCGTAAGATTCCTTCCGTGAGTCAGACAGTATGAGAGTCACGCCAGATGCGTGAGAGTTGGAAACCTTGAGCATACGTTTTTTAATTGTTGATTTTATTAAAAAAAACATTACATTATACAGTTTGTTAAAAATGTGAACTTTACCGAACTTTGATGAACATGAAATCACCAATAAACTACTTCAATTTATCCAACATTTTATAAAATACATACTGTGTTTGAAGACTTTTCACTAATGGCACATTGGCTCAAACCAAAGGGCTGCATATGCAGAAGTACATCTTGCTTGGAGGTTAAAGGAGTTTAATGTTCATTGGCGTGGTAAACAGGTGGCTCTAGTGTTAATTGGGCAGTCGTGCCTTTTGCCATGAACCTCGCGTGAAAGCAGCAGCGTGTATATATGCTGATCTAGCAAATATATTTTACTTTTTCATTTGCTACTATATAAGTAACCAGCTTATTTCTGTCTGATGTATACGCTGTGTATAATTGCACCAGATCTGTTTATTTTGAATTTGATAATTTGCTATCATGACACAGCGTCAGAATGTGTTTCATAGAAATTTCACACAACACAGATACACCGGTTACATACACTATATAAGGACAAGTATTCAGTTTACGACTGAAGCTTTGAAGGAAATAACATGCTTTATTTTTATTAACAGGCTGTTGTATAACATTCTGTATATTTAACTTCTCGTGGTGTTAACGGTATAGTGCAAAATCATGGTGCACAATCAGACCGGTAATGACTGTGGCACCAGTGTACCACGCTCACACACATTAGTAACAGGTTTGAGACGGAGCGACTGACCTTTATTGGCACAAGCTATCCACTGCAGGGGAGTGACATCATAATTGTGTTGCCCGACAGAAAAGGTAAACACCCGTACCTGGAAAAAAATAAGAACAGGGGAGTGTGCATTTTAGCTTTGATGCTCCTACTTCAAAAACAGTTTACAGTGTAATTGCATGTACTGTGTTGTACCTTCTTGACACCGTCTATTTACCAGCTAAATAAATGAAACACTGCGACCACTCAGGAACTCTGAGAATTGACTTCAAGTCTAACAAACAAAAAGGCCAGTTCCGGATGCCCTTGATGCTCAGACATTTATGTGGTTCTGGTTTGATTTAATATAATGACCACAACAAAACTAGAAAGTGTTTTTACCATCAATGCTACAGAAATTTTCCTTCTCTTGATATAAACATATATGCCCAAGTAATTTCTGTTTGAGGCCTTGAGCTCTTGAATGAACACCGTTTAGTCAACAGACTCGTGATTTTGTGTTGTTAGATATAGCAAAAAAAAAAAAAAAAAGACATAGCAGCTCTTTAAAGAGACAATTTTGTAAGTGTTTCCTCATTCTTATTGAGAATGCAAACAGAATTCAGTACTAAAAGTAAAAACATATTAACCCAATAAATAAAAAATTTTTTTTTTCTTTTCTTTCATTTTCTGGTGTGAATATCACAAACTGTTTGGCACAACATTAAACCCACAGAATTGTTTGTAATGGTTTGAAAATGTTTAAGATAACATTAGATGAGATAACCGTATTATCTTCCAGGGGGGGAAATTTGTCATCTATTTGCGTTAAAAAATAATTCCCAGAACAATAGTCTCCCCTAAAAAGAAAACCGAATCATTAGTTAAAATACAAGAAAATGAATCATAGTGCAGAGGTGTACAAATGGGGCAGAAATAGATTTGCAAACATGGAAGATGCTTAATTTAGTGCAAGTCAGTACTGTGACAGGTCAGAGTTGGGTTGTGTCCTCCAAGCTGGGTGGAGTTAGGATCATGGAGACTGGAAGCGCCGAACAAACAAATGACAGCGAACACAAAAGAAGGCCCAAAGGACTCACTCGTGCATTTCGGGGAACACAATCATTGTGCAAATTTCACAGAATTGGCGAGCTGGGATAACAGAGACACAAACCGTCTTGTTGGGCCAGTTGTACTGCTCGAAGACGTCCTGGGCACGGTCCTCGCCTCCATCTGTGAACAGCATGATCACTTTGTTGCAGTTGGCCCTCGGCACATTTGTCACCTGCAGGGAAGAAAAGGAGAAGGAGGAGGAGCAGGGGGAGTGAAAGCAGATACCAGGAAAACCAGGGAAGTAGCAGTTTTATGTCACCATCACCAGCATGACTCCCATTCAAACACACAGCATTACACTCAATAAAACAGAAACACACACACACTCACTAATGCAAACCCATACAAACATGAACACACGGACACTTCATAAATGCGTCTTCAAGGGCAGTGCCCATGTCTTACATTCAGCAGCTGTTGGAATGCAAAGTGGAAGCCCGACTTGTAGTCAGTGGTGCCCTTAGCTTGCATGAGCTGCACGGCCTGCTTGAAAGTCCTCTTATTTCGGACGTTGGCCTGGACGAGATGCTTGAAGCAGGGCACCACCGGATCTGCCTTTTCGCTGAACTGCCAAAGACACCATTACACACACCCTCAGGCTCTAAACTCACTCTCCTATTCCCAAAAGGCATCAGAGCAAAAACGGTGTGCTTCACTGAAATGTCACATTCGCAATCAAAACGTCCAGAAAATCCAAATTTTCTTTCTAACTAATTGTTGCAACTGAGTACATAATGCACTGTGGGAACTGAATTGAGATTGTAATTATGTGATACATTCACAATGAGACCCTGCCGTAGTAAATGCCTGGGAAAATGGTAGTAAATGGCGCCAGAACGTGCTACTAACCAACCAACCAGAAACTGTGCCAAACGGGCACAGGAGGAATAGTGTTGACTTATTAATTCTGGCCCTAAGAGGATAAAGTTCTTGAAATAGAAGAGAAAGGCCTGCCAGACGTCAGTGATTGACTAAAAGACTATCTCCTAGCGATCGGCCACTACTTGACCCACTTACACTGTTAGGGTATTGTAGGTTACTCCCAACTGAGGAGCATCCCACACTGAGGCAATGTGAGAAGCAGACAAAAGCACATCCTCTCCATGTCACACTGTGAGAGGTTATTGGAATTCTGTTTCGGTCAGGGATTTCCATTTGCAGGTTTGTGTGCTTCTAGTTTATTGGGCTACTTTGGTGCACCGCTTAGTGACAAGACAGAAGCATGGGCAGAACAAGAAAATGGGGTCACTCAGTGGTTCAGAGAGGGAGGCAGATCAAGGATTTGAATCAGCAGTCTTTCTGCAAAAACCCCAGTCCTTAACCTCCACTGACCAACCGCCTATCAATATCATGGAAAACTAGTCTCCCCCTGGGAAAAATCAGCCAAGAACAAAAAACACCTTGTAATTGAGAAGAGCTTGGGAGGCATTTAGCAAGTCACTTGTAAAGGGCAGAGCAGAGCCCTTGTTGGCTTTAACAGCTCCCCAAACTGCATACTCACCCGGGCCACGTTGACGTAGTCGTCATCTGATAGCGTGTCTAGCATCTCTATTACAGAGGCCTTGATGAGCTTAAGAGTCAAGCCACTTACGCTGCCACTCCTGCAAGAGGACAATGTGTATGGATCACACAGACTTACCAATTACATTTGAAAACCTCATAAACCCCTGATTCAGGGACCTGCATCTCACATCCACTCCTGATGACAAAATAGAGAATGCGAGCCAAGGTCAAAAATTAGTTTGTCAGTTTTGACATATGACATTAAAAACAGCTAGGCAGCTACAGGTTCTAGCTATAAATAATAAGACATATTTTCAGGCAGTAAAACCAATATTTCAGAACACCTTTTTAGAGTCATGCCTGTTATGTAGTCTTCCAGCCAATAGAGGGCGAACTTACACATCCACCAGAATAACCATGTCTTTCGGTGAAGATGCTCCCTGGATGTACCTAGGTTAGGAAAACAATCCCTATATTAATTGTAAATTGTTTCATACATTTTAATGTATATTGTAAAATAATACAACAACACCACAGCCAGTTTCTAAAACATTGAGAGTTCTTTTATTGCATTGAACAGGTTTAAAATGCTGTAGTATCAAACTTATTTGTCAAAAATTATTTGTCAATCTGTATAAACTCAATTGCTTAACAACAAGAAACATATGCACACAAAATTGGTAACTGAAGAATAATAATGTGCTTACCATGAACGCCTCCGCACATCATATAGGTCAATCTTGTCTGGGGCTCTCCACGGGGTGGCTAGAGGAGAAGGATGAGGAACATGAGTCTACATGCCAAGTTCTACTAAATTTCAGATGAATTATCTTTGAACTCACAGATAATACAAAGGTGGAAAAACCCCAGATTTTCCTTATACGTCTCCTTTGGGAGTTTTTGCTTTTAAAATCGTTGAAGGCTAAATAGTCTTCAGTTCATTTGTAAAGCTACATTAATTCTATTGGTTTTGCATTTATTATTCTGCAGCAATTCTTTGGGGTGGCTGTGTTGGGAAATTGCTAAACGAAAATGTATTGAATTTAATCATGGAAAACTAGTCAGTGGGCTCCAGATGGAGCAGCAGTCTTGTTGTGTTGACAAAAAAAAACAGCCAAGACTGTGTGGCAAACCTGGGTAATATCTGGTGACACCCGTGGCACTTCCAAACACCTGCCACAGCAGCGACGGGTCATCACGGCTGTTTTCAATGAAGGTCTTTTCCAGTGCTTGGGTCCAGTTCAGCTCATTCAAAATCACTGGAGCTGAAGGCAATTGGAAGTCGAGTCATTCTGAGCATCTGTGCACAGGCTTTTATTTCAGTTGAGCCCAAAGATCTAAACTTTTCACAGTGTTTTTTAATAAAACTGTTCATTTCCTATAAATTCTCACAACCACACAGATGTGTCACTAACAACCACAGACACGTAACTCACAGCCCTTGTAGATGTCAGTTGGGATCTGCACAGCAGTGTAGGAGTAGTTGACGTTATTTTTGAAGTTGGGGTCATAAACAAACTCCAGCTTCAAGGGTGATGAATGCGCTGAATTTCCATCCCCATCGCTGTCCTGCAGAGCATACTACACAGAAGAGCAGCACAGAGGCTGTAGGTAATTACAGCAATCATCTTCCACGGAGTTATTTTGCAAACCATCATCATGAACTACTCATGGAAGAGCGCAACCAAAATGCTGTAAGTGTAGGACTTAGCAGTGATTAAAACATTATTCCACATGGTTACTTTTGTAGCTGGGTTATTTCAGTCCCAGCAATGACTGTGTTTTCAAACGGCATTTGAAATGCATTTAGATGAGTTAGGTGCAACCTCAGCCAAATCACACCAACAACTACCATTTAACTAGGGACAGATGATCACTTCATTTAGCTAGAAAAACCTAAAAGCATTCCTTCAACCTCATATTTTAATTATTTGACATATTTTTTGGCCACCAACACAGAGACATTTTTTCAGATGGCCGGTTGTATTCATAACAAGCCGCCATTTATGTTGTACGACTACAAACATTCAGCCACATGATGGATTAATGTGGTCTGCTCTATTATGTGATTTGGTGACCTCGCCTGACCTCAGCTGACTTACATAATCCATGTCAGCTTTGGAGTCGTAGTATTCCATATCCCATTCCTGTGAAAAAACAAGGAAAAATGTAATTACTGACCGACAAAAAGACTAATAGAAGCTGCCCTTTGGAATGCTGGGAGACAGTATAGAGTACCAAATACCTTAAGACTGTCTTTCCAGGTGTGCTCCTTCTGTAACCGCTCAGCTTCTCTGGTCAGTTTCTACAGAAGACATAAAATAAGTTTGTCAAGGTATTGTAACCCAACGTGTTGCTGAGACTGAGAGGAACTTATGCCGTCATGTTGTTCAGAGTATGTCACACACATAAGCCTTCAGGAGTCTGACTCCGTAGTTTAGCACAATTTTCATGCAGGGCAATTAACCGAAAACTAATCAAAACCGACATGCAGAAGCTCTAATCAACATAATCTTGCCCATGTCAATAACTTTGGTTTTTTTTAAAATTCTGTTAATACTTAAAAAACAATCGTTAATACTTTCCCCAGTGTGTGTTCATGTACTGTCCCCTTAAAAACACATGTGTGGTCATGTGACTCCGCCCCGTCCAGTCTGCGACATGGAAGACCCATAGAGGGGAACTCAAATACCGAGCTGACTGAGCAACTCCAGCAACCTGTACCAAAGAAAAATGCCATGTCCGTCGTGTGGACGCATTGTGGCGTTAGTGAAGAGGACACCGAACAAAAAGAGGTCAAGTGTAAACACTGCAGAAAAACAGTTTCAGCTACCAAAGATAATACCACCAATTGGTTTCAACACTAGCAATATTTAAAATACAGTGGAAATCGCTTATAGTGTTCAACTACTTAAATGGATCGAAAAGCTTGGGACAGAATCCTTCCTGCACAAATACTGTTTAAATAATTAGCTTATAGTAATCAAGTAGTGTGCTGACAGTATTCATTTAGGGTCTTTTTATACATAAAATACGTAAAAAATGTAAATTATGTGATCCTTTTTTTTTTTTTTTTACTTGGCTACTCTGCCTTGCGGTAATCCGTCTACTAGCTACCTGAAGCTAATGCTGCATGAACAGACACCACGACGGGAAAAAGAAAGTAATTTTCTCTCAATTATGAATATAGATTCACCAAAGTTTATCATAAACTGCCAAAAAACGAGCCAACGAGATGTAATATCGAAACAACAATAAGCTTTATTTCATGTACAGTACTGTACTGTATTATAGCCTATTTGAATTGTGCACAGTTCAGTCATTTAATTTGTGCAGTACTGTAATTTAGAAAGAATTTGAAACAACTATCCTATATTTTGAGTCAGTAAAATTCTGTAAATACTGACGCTGTCTGATTTATTACCTTATGCTCTTGTAATAAATATACAGATGGTAATCTACCTGAGACATAAGGAAAAGGGGGAAAAATGGTTATAATAATCATCCACTTATTGTGATCAATTTCAACCAGACAGACGTGATCACTATAAACAGTTTATTTTGTTTGCAAGAAATGCACACTATTTATTTTCTACTTTTTTTTAGGGAACTTGCTTTTTACATTAAAATTTAAATATGACCTTTTTCATAAGATGCTTTAATTTCAAGCGATCTGTGCTTTGATATCAGTTGTTCAAAATATTTGATAAATAACCAATAATTGATGAGAAATGGTTCATCTGTGTTTTTCCTTCAATTATTTTATAATCATAAAGATAAGATATAGTCTTTCATCAGAAATATCCCAGCTTCAATAGTTCAGTATATTTACAGTACAACCCTTGTCAATGAAATATGAGAGCAAAACAAAAAAAACAAACCTAAAAAAATTTGGTAATCGAGGTAAAATCTTCAAATAATGGTGATATTGATTTGAGGTTATATCGCCCAGCCCTACATCAGCACACGCTGACTGACATAAAAAATTTAGCACAGTGCTCTAATTAGTCTCTCCAAACTATGTCTGCATTGATGAGCAAATCGAGGCATTTACTCCAGCATAGCACAGCTAACACGGTAGAATCCAGCCGTGTTGTCAGAGGAAAAGCACAGAAAAGTCGTGTTACATGGGAAAGTCACTGAAATGCTGAACAAGTTCAGGACATGAACATGGGATACCGGGAGAACCTGTTAACCTTTGTGTGTGGGTTTTTATTTTTTCCTTTCCGTGAGTGACTTAAAATGCCCCAACCAATCGTAAAATGAAGAACTGCACCAAATCTAAATCCTAAAAAAAAACATGTATCAAAGTTAAATATAAGCACCATTAGGGACTAATGACTGCAAAAACATTATCTTGCATTCTGACCCAGAACCCATAAGATATTGAACTACTGCTCCAGATAAAGCTTATACACACACGCGCACACACACACATACATATCTTACACATTGAACATCTATTGAAACGATGTTCAGACAGCTGTCTTTAGTTTGGTTACCTTACCATTCAGAAGAAAGCCAGCGTTAATACAGTAATAATACAGGATACAGCCTATGTTTTAGTACTCAATCGTTGTTATGTCACGTCAACCACCTGAAAAGCAGACACAAATACCTGAGTTTTTTTAAACGCTCCCAGGGTAATGAATACGTTTCACAATGGGATTTTCTGCTTTAAACTATCACTATTTTAAGCTATCAGCTATCACTTTTAAAGCCTAACAGTTAATGTATTTGCAGGCCAAGGCAAACATCCGCAATAGGCTGCAGGGAGACCATCTTGCAGCCTGCATGCGGATCTCAGTAAATGGGCCAGACGTTTCTGACTTCCCATATCAAGAGGCTCTAGAAATGTTCTTCCAGAATCCCAGAAAGATACAATGCAGTGACAAAAGCTGCACACTTTGTGGATAATTGTCATAAAAAGAAATGTTCTGATGTTTAGTTCAGTTGTTATATTGACTACTGTCAGAACACCATAAATCCTGTTGGTGTTAGTCTGCCCCCCCCCAACACTAACAGGTCTATGTATGTTTATGTTTTGTTGACAGTTTTTTTTACTCTTACAAGCATACGGGAACCTATCAGCAGTAACTTCCCCCATTTTGCTCACCCACCTCCTCAATCAAAACTTATATCCTAGGAAGTCTCCTCCTCTACTTATAACCCCATGTTGCTTCATTCCTTTTCTCAACCTTTCTTCTGTCTAATCTAATTCCAATATTTAATAATTTAATACGTATGGGCGGGGCACAGTGGTTAGTGCTGCTGCCTCACAGCAAGAAGGTCCCAGGTTCGGTCCCGGGTCCTTTCTGTGTGGAGCTTGCATGCTCTCCCCATGTAGTTCCCAGGATAGGCTCCGGTCCCCAGGATAGGCTCCGGTCCCCACAATGACCCCAGTTGGGATTAAGCAGTTTCAGGAAATGGATGGATAGATGGAATAATGCCTATTCCATACTCCATGCCTATTATTTAAGTCTCATTGTAAAACTGTTTACAATGACATTTCCAAAGAATATATCCTCACCAAACCCCATTTAACCCAGTGCTCCTAACCCTTAATGTTTTCCCTTTATGTTCAATACATTTGTTTGATTTTATTTATTTGCTTTTATGTTCTTATAGCACATTGTGTAAGTTCATGTCTCTGACTACAATACAAATTTCCTTGGTACTGCCTGTAAATATTACGATATAGGAGGAGTTGGATCCTCTGCTAAAAAAAACAAAGATATTAAATCACCTAAACAAATTAAGATATGACATTGACTTTATTCAAGAAATAGATTAGCCTGACAGATATGTTCCATTATCCACAACTTGTACATCATTCCCAGCAGTGATTTTATTGCATTCTCATGAACAGGGTATGCGCAAGACATCACAGTAGGCGGAAGTCACTGCGGTGACACCCACTAAGTAGCAGAAACACTGAGTGGAAGTGTTAGTGTTCTGTTTGAATATCGCTACAACACATCACATTGATTGTACAAATAGATCTAAGAAGAAATCAGACAAATATTTTCACAGACTGCAGAAAACTAAAGAAAAGAAAAGCAAATTGATAGGGTACCGAAATGTGGATTTGAGCTTGTCGGTTTGTGTCACTTAGGCCTATGTTGGATTTTTGGTAAAATCCTACCTTAAAGGGGCAGTTCACCCCAAAAGTGAAACAGTCATGTTTTAGAGGGGCTTTAGTGCTATCTATCCATCTAAGTTATTCTGCTGGGAGTTGCCTAGTTTTGGAGATACCGACCATAGAAATGTCAGGCTTCTCTCAAATATGATTGGACTGAAAGGCGTTCTTTCCATGGTGATCAAAGCACCAAAAAATAGATTTGAAAAATTCCTCAGCAATGTCTCTTACCAGAAATCTTGACCCGATTACAGCAGATAATCCACAGACTTTGTAGTGAGCAGTTTAATGTAGGAACTGTTTTCTACTACTGAACTTCATACACCAATCATATCACTGTGCAGAAGATATCGCCGGGGTGCTCGTATTGACTACTCATCAATTAAATATGTAGCATCATTCATTTATATTCTGTGTAATGTACAGGATGATGAGTCTTGTATTCTACAAACAAAGTGGGGGATTATTAAACAGTGTTAGCTAGCCAAGATGAACCTTTTCCTGTAGTGGTCAATGTAATAGCTGCCAATAATGTAATATTTTTTCCATTCTAAATGTAATAGAAGCTGATAACGTAATAACTTCCCAGCAACAAGGGATGCTGACGTCCCCATAAGCGTGTTTTTATAAGGTTCACTATCAAACATTTAGAGGATATTATTAATGTTTTCAACAGGTATCAATTATGTCCTAGCAGAACGTTCCAAAAAGGATTATAGATCATTTAAAGGAACTCAGGCTGCAAGAATTTGCTGGAATAAGTAACATGGATTGATCTTTTGTTTTTATTTCGGTGAATTGGTACTTATTTTATTGATAAATTCCATTTGTCCTTCATAAATTCTGGAAAATGGTATGATGATCACCAGGAAATGTGAAGATCCTCAGCTCACTTGAGAAAGAAAGGTAAGGCACTCTACACGGTTTGAGGTAATGGGCTTTCATAATTGTCTGTTGAGGATTCTGGTGTTATATATATAATATAGTTAATGATTCAGTTAAAACCATACCAGTGCTACAGTACATCGCTTCATATTTAATGTAATGTATTGTTACATCCAATGAATGAATGAACATATAAATAAATAGGCCATGCCATGATTCTTTGGATTCTGAGAATCAGAATAAAGCGTGCACATGGTCCTTTAAATGCTGACGGAGTAAAG